ATTGGGTGAGCTGACATTTAGTATATATATGTTTTCAAGTGTTACATCTTACTGATGGATTGTTCCTTTCATCAGTAATAAGTGACCATCATTTTCTCTTCTTACTAATTTTGGTTTGATGTATGCTTTATCAGATATTTGTATTGCTACTTCTTCTTTCTTTCAGACTCCATTTGCTTTGAATACATTTTCCATGCTTTCACTTCAAGTCTGTGTTTGTCTTTGTTAGTGAGGTTTATTCTTGTAGCAACAAATGATTTTGTTTTAATTCAACCCATGAGTCTGTGTCTTTTGATTAGAGAATTAAGGCCATTCACATTCAAAGTTATCATTGAAATGTGTGAAGTAATTCCTGTCATTTTGTTGTTTGTGTAATGTTGAATTCTTTCCTAATTTTTATGTGCTTATCTACTTATCTACTGAGTGTATTTTTCTTTTTTTTTACAGTAGTGGGGTTTCAAGTCATGACCTCACCCTTGCTAGGCAGATACTCTAACACTTTACTTACTCCACCAGCCCTGCTATTGAGATTTTTTTCCCCATATTTTTCTGATTGCCCTATGTTCCTATTTAGTGTGTAGGATTTACTTAAGTATTTTCTGGTTTTTTGGTGATGAATTCCTTAGTTTTTGTTTATCATGGATAGTTTTTATTTCTCCTTTAATTTTGAATGATAATTTTTCTGGAATCAGTAAACTGGGTTGACAGTTATTTTATTTAAGGGTTTGCAATACATAATTCTATATCCTCCTTGCTTTTAAGGTTTCTGATGAGAATTCTGCTGTTATTCTGATGGGTTTATCTTTATATATGATTTGCTGCTTCTCTCTTGCAGCTTTCAATATTGTTTCCTTTTTCTCTTTACATATCTTTTAAATATAATATGCCTTACAGAAATTCTTTTCTTGTTTTGTCTGTTAGGTGTCCTAATAGTATCCTGTAGCTGGATGACTGTCTCTTTCTTGAGATTTTGAAATGTTCTCCTGTTATTTATTGAATAAATTTTCCTATGCCTTTAGCTTGCACCTCTTTTCCTTTTTCTATGTTCATGATTCATAGGTGTGGTCTTTTAATGGTATCCCTGAGGCCTTTCATGTTTCATTTATAGTTCTTTATTTTTCTTTTCTTTTTATCCAAATGTACTAATAAATCTATCTTGTCTTAAAGCCCTCATATTCTGTCTTCAATTTGATCAAGTCAACTGGAAAGCCAATGAACTGAGATTTTTATGCAATGATTTTGGATTTTGCATGAATTTTGATTTAATTTTTAAGGATTTCTGTATCTTTATTGATTTCTTTCTTCATATCCTTTATTATCTTTCTTATTTTGTTCAGCTGTTTATTTGTGCTCTGGAATTTATTCAGCTGTTCACTTGTATTTTCTCTGAATTCTTCAGCCATTTAAAAATATCTTCTTTAATTTAATTGGTTGGTCTGACAATCGCTCTTTGAGTTCTTTGGGATATCATCTTCTTCACTATCCTTAGTGTACATTATTGTGGCATTTTCATCTTTGGGAGAAATCATGTTCCTTTGTTTTTTAATATTTCTTATGTTTCTTCTTTGGGATCCACACACCCAAGAGCATGTCATTATGCCATTTCTATAATGTTTGAATCACCTGTAATCTTTCATTTGAAATGATCTCATTGTTCAGGTAGGACTGTATAGTGGCAGGTTTGAGATACAATTTCTTACTTCTGGACTGGGTGCTATCTCCATAGCCAAACATTTACATGTGTCCTTAGAGCACCTGGCCTGATTTTCAATGCCACTCACATAAAGGAGAACTTGCCAGAGTCTCTTGTATTTCTTAATGTGTGGGTTGGTGCTATATTTGAGCATATATGATGCTATATATGGGCTGAGAGCTGGTCAAGTGTAAGTTGTCTGTTTCTGTGCTGCTTTTACCTTAGAAGTTTATCTTCTTTGTGTTGCTGCTGACCTCATGGAGCCTTGTAGTTTGTGGTGCAAGCAGATTCCCACTTGGCAAATATGCCCTTCAATTTGTGCCTCCACTGGCATGAGCATGCAAATGTAGGTTGATCCAAATGTATCAGATAGCTGGGGAAGCAAACAGAATACTGAGTTTTAGACTTGTGTTGGAGAACTCAGGTACTCTGCTTGCAGTCTCTATTGCTTGGATGCCCTACCCAAAGCTCAACACCTGTAGGAGGAAGGAGTCTTGGAAAGATAACATGATCCCTGGGTCCTGTGCTTAGAGCTCTCAACCCCACCTGGCAGCAAATAGCTGTAGCTGTCAGACAGTTCCTGGAGGCCAACCACTCTGGCAGCCATGGGCTGGGTACTCTTTCTACTGTGATCCTTGTGTGATGGGATTTGATTTTGTTAGGGAGAGTGGGGCAATCAGTCACTAGGCCCTTGGCTGTCCAAACTCCCAGTTGCTTCACCTTCTCCATTAGTCCACATCAGACCCTCTTACTCTTCATGACAACTTCTCATTAATTTCTCCCTTTCAAACACTGTGACTAGGTTCCCAAGACTTCCTGAGTTTTGTGGTTGTTTCTTGTTTTCAAGTCCCCAGAGTATCTTAGTCTCAAACGCTGCCTAACAGCAAGGCACTGCAGCCTGTAAGCACTTTTGTATCCAGGGACTCTGTGCTCTATTTCCTCAGTGATCCTCAGACAATGAAGCATGATCTGAACAAGGAGGGTGGGGTCACTGATCACCATGCCTTTCACTACTTGAGTTCCTGAATGCTTAACCTTCTCACCTTGCGCATGTTAAATGCTCTACGTCTCCACAACAGCCTCAAATGGCTGTGTTCCTCTCATACACTGTGATTGGGAGTCCAAGATGTTTTGAACCATGATTACTCCTTGTTTTCAAGTTTCTCAAGTACCTCAGTCATTAACAGTAAGCCCTCTCTTAAGGTGTGTCTTACTATAATGCTCCAAGTTATGGGGAATAAAAAAATGACTTTCTTATCTGATGTTTGTCTGTCATGTTGAAGGAGTCATGTCCCACAAAATCTCCACACATGGTTAAAAGCTTGAATGAGGGGTGTGTTTTTTCTGCCAGTATTTTACCAAGGCTACCATCTTACTTTGTGCTGGAGGCTTTGGCTTCCCTCTTCCCCAACAGAGCAAGTTCTGGCACTGCAGGTTGTGTCCTAATTTACTCTGTTACCATTCAATCTCCAGGAGTTTTAGTTGTCCTGTCATTTCATGATTCTTGGTGCTCCTCTTCTCTTTCTCTCCTTTGTTAGCCTAACTTTTCATTTACAGAGACAGATGGAGAAATCTTGTACTCTAGCATGTTTCCCCACCACTCCATTATTTATTCTTATATATGTTAAATTTGTTTTCTAATTCTCTGCTTGCTTCTATTCCCTACAAACCCTTTCCTTGTTCAAACAATATAATAAATTGTGATACCTTTGAAAACTCTTGTTCTTGGAAATATACTTTAAGAATGACATGGATTATGATTTTGGACTAGTAGAGAAGGAATTATAATCCTGACATTGCTGCAAAGTGATCAACATCCATACTCAACACTCATATTAATATTCATATTATCATAGCAATTCTTTATTAGTTTTTAATGGTCATAATAATTATAAACAAATAAATCCAGGAAGATTTCCAGAGACATAACATGTAAATTGATCTTAAGTGTAGAAAACCAAAGATGTAGATTATTGACATTGTGGTTGGGTTAGAAGGAAACTACACACATATATTTTCTGTGTATGTGATTACATATAATATCTATACACTATGTACTATATACAATATTTGAGGGATAAGGCATGTTCCAGTTATAGTAATTATGTTAAATTTTTATTGTGTATAACAGAATAGTTGTTGGTACTTTTAAAGTTCAAACATACCTTAGAGTAAAAGAACCACCAGAAAGATGAGCAGCTCAAGAATACTCATTCACACACAATCTTTTCATGAGGACATTTCTGAAAAGTAACTTGATGGAGATTTTCAAGTTTGACACTAATTTTAACATCCATCTAAAGGAAAAGAATGTTTACATGCTTTGTAAGCCACACACATCACAGAGGGCCAGAAAGAAGTGTTCCAGTTTAGAAGGTCAAAGTATGTGCCCAAGACTTGCAATTTGATAGGAAAAACATATTGAGATATAGTATATGAGCCCCACAGAGTGTACATCATAAGTGATAATCTCATGTAATAGCCCTACATTGATATACCCTGCATCTATCATCCAGGTCAAAAATCAATCAATGGAGTACCTCGTGAGTAGCCTTACTTATGCAATCTCTCATTCTCAAAGGTAACTATTACCTTAATGACTAATACCATAAGTTAGTTTTGCCTGTTTCTTGGCTTTATATAACCGACAATATAAAAAAAAAACATTTCTCATATTTTTCCATGCATGATTACATTCGAATAAACCACAAATGTTTGGTTTATTCTAAACCACAGTATTTATTTACTTTAATTCTAATGGATACTGGTGCTGTTTCTAGCTCCTGAGTACTATGACTGTGTTGAAATTCATATCTCTTGCACATTTTCTCCTCAATTTATGTATGAATTATGAGTAGATGTAAAGCTGGAAAAGTTGGAACAGAATGAACTCCAAACTATTTTGGCAGGGGAATTCTGAGATAAGTAAGTTATCATAGATATTAATAAACATAGTTAATATATTTCCAGGAATTTTAAATTTTTTTAAATGTTCAGCTCCAGTCCTAGTGATCCAACCACTGTGCCACAATGTGTGTAGATTGTCATTCAGGAGAGAGAAACCTGTTTGTGAAGATTAAATGTGGTGAACTTTTGAAGTCTATTATGAATAAAAGGCTTTGATTTTCATAACAGAGGGTATTTTTCTTACATAAGCATGGTTACAGCCTTAGAAAAGAGGTAGAAGAATCTGAGTCATAGGAAAGTATTTCCTGTGGACAGATCTCAGGATTCATTTGGAGGGTACTACATTTATTTGGTGATCTCAATGTGGTTAAAGGAATTCTGACTTCTCAGAAAACTCTATTTAGATATTTTGAGAATTATTCTTTCCCTTAGAAAAGATCCTAATGACGTTGTCTCGTATCTGCTTTGTTTTTACCCCATACACAATAGGGTTCATTGTGGGAGGCATGAGAAGATAGAGATTAGCCATAATGATGTGTACATGGGGAGGAATAGTGTGACTCCCAAAACGGTGTGTAAAGAAGGTGAAGAAGGCTGGGACATAAGTGATGACAATGGCACAGATGTGGGCAGTGCAAGTGCTGAAAGCTTTCTGTCGAGCATCGGTTGATGATAGACTCACAACTGCCCGAAGAATCATAGTATAGGAGATTGTGATGCACAGGATGTCAAAGCCCCCAATCAGAAGGGCAACCATCAAACCATAAATAGCATTGACCTGAACATTTCCACAAGATATCTTGGCAACAGACATGTGGTCACAGTAAGTGTGGGGGATGACATTGCCCCTGCAGTATGGCAGGCGCTTGGTGAGGAAAGTGAAGGGGATGACAAGCATCACACCCCTTAGAAAAGTGAGGAGCCCAGCCTTGGCAATGACAACATTGGTGAGGATGGTGGCATAGCGCAGGGGGTAGCAGATGGCCACATAGCGGTCCAGAGCCATGAGCATGAGCACCCCAGACTCCATCCCTGTGAAGGTGTGCACAAAGAACATCTGCATGAGGCAGGCCTTAAAATCAATCTCCTTGAGGCTGAACCACAGTATGCAGAGAGTATTGGGAAGAGTGCTGGTGCACATGAGCACATCTGTGAAGGAAAGAAGGGCTAAGAAGATGTACATAGGTCTGTGTAAGGCTTCTTCAGAGTAGATGAGATACATAAGGCCAAAGTTCCCTGTAAGAGCAATGCTGTACATAGTACACAGGGGAAATGAGATCCAAAAATGCTCTTCTTCCAGACCAGGGATGCCATTTAGGATGAAAGAAGAAGGCGTTGTACTGGTGCCATTTAAAAATGACATAATGATTGTTGGAAGGTCATGGTAGAGCAGTACAGAATTGCTTCTATAAACAAAAATGACAAAAAGGGACAGAGACAAACAGGCTTGTGTTCCCAGTAATGGATAGTTTCTCTTTCTAATAGAACAATGGCTATATTTTCTCTCACACATTTTACCTGTGATACACACTCATTCGCTTAAACATTAGATGTTGATAAGATGAAGCAGCTGAATCTTGCCAGTTGTCTGGATATGGATGTGTCTAGTTTCCTTTGTTATGTTGTAGTCCATTCTCCAGGGTGAAGTTGACCTCTAACTGAACAACTGGATTGATTAAATACATTCTATATTCTAAGTGCTCAACATCCTGTTCAAAGATACTTACTCTGTTCTGAAATGTTAAAAAACATCACTTATTCTTATGGACTTATCTTTCAAAAGTAATCAGTTTTACTGAATAGACATTTTAGCAATGGTTTTGATCTAGTTTTAGTCCAAACTATGCCTTTTTGCTATACATATATATTACATATATATGATACAATATAGCTACTCAACACATTTTTATAGTCTGTAGATAAACTATAGGAAAAAAGGATTAGCAAAATACCTATGATTAGTGAAGGAGAAGAATGCTGGATATGATCATATGTTTTGAGGAAATAAGAGTGAATTTGTAGCCATAGGATGGATCCAAACGGGAATCACAAGTCTAAAGAACTGGTCTATCTTGAGCTAGAATGTGCTGATTGAAAGCAACAAAAGAAAGAAACAAGTAAGGTGATCGTGGAAGTAGTCCTGTAGAGAAAAACATTGGAAGAAAAACAAAGTCTTTGATTCAAAAATATCAATGTTGAAGTTTATAGTAATCCCCAGACATTTCTTACATACCTACCCATCATCTCACAGGTATCTCTATTGGAAATTCAAGGTTTATGAAATTGGCTCTTCTTTCTTCATTTGTCTTTTATTTAATTTTGTATGCTTATTCTTCAAAAGATGAAGGCTAACTAAATAAATTCTAGGGGTATTTTGAATTTAGGATTAATTGAACCATCATGACTATAGTGTGAAATGTAGGCAATTTCCTGGAATGAAAGAGCATACAAGAAACAGAAAAGAATGTGAAACAAGGCAGTCATCACTCCTTTTACTCACCACAGGATAAATTCTTTTCTCTCAGAATTGTTGTTGTTAGACCTCACAATCAGTTTCATTGAATAACTCTTTTTAAGACACATCTCACAGGTGTCATCTTTTAGAAGTTGAAAAGTGAGTGTTTTATTCAAAGTGAAAACTGAACATGCAAGGAAGTATGTAGGGTACTGTGCCTTTTGAAATGTTAGGAGATAACTATCTGAAACTCACTCATTCATCTTCTTTCCTCACCTGTCATAATCTGTATCCATTTCTTTAAAAGGCAGAATGCAAACCCAATTCAGAAATCTCCTTACCCTGATAACTTGGAGTTCCTCAAGGAACTAAATGTATTCATGAATTAAGTCACATTCATCTCTATGTGATGCTTTTGGACATGCATGAGAAATACAAGAACTCTACTGAGACCTTGAGAAGCAAGTGGACTAAGGAACATTTCTATTATGTGCGTGAGGGTGTTGAGAGTGTGTGATATATTCTGAAGTGTTAGGAAAGCTCAGTTGTTACTGTCTCTTTCTACTGTAATCTCAGAGGAGACATGATTTCCTGCATGCGTGGGGGGTTAAGGGAGGGTTTATAAAAAGGAGACTTAATCATGAGATATGTTTGCAACCTAAGGACACTGGCTGAGCCATTGGGAATTGTCTTAAGGAAAGATTTTTTCCCATTATAATGTAGAACTCCTGAGGGTATAATCTTTTATACATTCAAGAAAGACAACATACATCTGAAACCAGCTGAACTTTCACTATATGAATACTTTTTTTTACATTTAATTAGCATGTATTAGTTGAACAAAGGGGTTATTGTGACATTTAAATATGTGCTTACAATGTACCTTGATTAGAATTCACCCCCTCCATCATTCTCCCTGATCTCTGCTCTTCCTTCTTCAAACAATTTCAACAGATTTCATTTTCTATTTTCATATAAGTGCACAAAGTACTTCATCCATAATCGACCTCCTTCACCATCTCCATTTATCCTCCCACTGGTACTCACCTCCCTGAAAGGAGCTATTTTACTTTCTTGCCCTTCATTTTTAAGTGTATATTAATTGCTTAAAAGGGTTTCAGTGAGTATTTCACACATGAAAATATTGTATGTTATCCCCCATTGTTACTTACTCTTTCTCTGTTTCCCAACCGCCAATTACTCAGTGGCTTTCAGTATATTTGGTTATGCCATCTCCACATACAGATGCAGCATATTGGGGTATTAGTCACTCTCTAAAATTGATACTGAAGAAATATTTTCAAAAGAATTAAAGAATTCTGATATGAAAACATTGAATTGTATGTATAATGTATTTAGTATACTAGATAAACTTGGTGATTAATTATAACTGTGTTGTGTAAGTTATTTAGGTCTATCTAGATGTATACCATCACAGTGTCTGTGAAAGATGATCATTTTATTTCTTTGTTTCCTATTTTTTTCACTCAGTTTTTTAATTATTATTGTTGTGTTGGGCAGGGGTTCATTGTAGCATTTACAAAGGTTCTTACAATGTACAAAATATATCATACTTGAACTCACTCTATCCACTGCCCTCTTTCATCCCTCTCCCCCAGTTCCTGGAACAGTTCAACAGGTGCATTTACATACATGTGTATTCATTATTTGCACTACATTCATCCTCCTACCCCTTTCTTTGCCACCTTCCCCCTTCCTACTGATGCCAAATCCTTATCCCCTGCCTCAGCAGAACCTGGTGTGCCCCTCCTGTTCTCCAATTTTGTAGAAGAAAAAACATAAAAGATAATAAGGGAAACATGGAGTTTTTACTAGTTTGAGGTAAAGAGAGCTAAACAGGGGGACTCCTTGAGTTGTTTCCATGCATATATGTATTACAACCCCAATTGGTTCATCTCTACCAAGTCATCTTCACTAATCTCTAGTCCCCTTCCATAGTGGCCTCAGCCAGTTTAAGATTACTATATTCATTCCTGGATATTGAGCATATTTGTCAACCACATTCAAGTTTTTGGTTTCCTTACCTTACCCTATCCCTGCTGTGAGTGGCCTCCCTTTAGTGAACCAAAGTCCAATAATATTACTGCATTTGTTTTATGTCCAAATCCACATATGAGGGAGAACATGTGGCTTTTGGCCTTCTGAGCCTATCTTAAGTTAATGTTCTCCAGTTCCATCCATATACCTGAATATGGTGAATGACAAAATTTCATTCTTTTTCATGGCTGGGTAAAATTCCATTGTGTACAAATACCACATTTTCCTAATCCATTTGTCAGTAGTGAGATATCATGGCTATTTCCTTAGCTTAACTATATAAATAATGCTACAATAAACATGGATGTGCAGGTGCCTTTGTAGTAGCCTGACTAACATTCCTTTGTGTATATCACTAGGAGTTGGATTGCTGGATCAAATGGAAGATCTATTTTTTGTTCTTTAAGAAGCCTCCATATTGCTTTCCATAGTGGTTTTAGTAGCTCATATTCCCACTAGCAGCGTATGAGAGTTTCTTTTACACTGCATCCTTGCCCAAAATTTTTTTTGTGTTCTTGATGGTAGCTATTCCAATAGGAATGAAGTGGAATCTTACTGTGGTTTTTGAATTATATTTCCTTTATGGCCAGGAGTAGTAAGCATTCATTCATGTGGGGTTTTTTAGCCATTTGAACTTATGCCTTTGAAAAAGTTCTGTTCAGTTCAGGTGCCCATTTCTTCATTAGGTCATTGATTTTGGGGAGTTTTGTGGTTTGATCTCCTTGTATATTCTGGTTATTAGCCCCTTGTGTGATGTATGGCTGGTAAAGTTTTTCTACCATTCCGTGGGGGAACCCCTTCAAGTTAGAGACCATTTCTTTTTTTGTGCAGAAGCTTTTTAATTTCATGTGATCTCATTTGTCAATCCTTTCTCTTAGTTGTTTGACCACTTGAGTTCTACTGAGGAAGTCCTTGCTATGCCTATTGCTTCCAGTGTTTTCCCTGCTTTTTCCTGTACTTGCTTCAAGGTTTCAGGTCTGATATTAAGGTTCTTTTTTTTTTTAATTTTTATTTTTTTATTATTCATATGTGCATACAATGCTTGGGTCATTTCTCCCCCCTGCCCCCACCCCCTCCCTTACCATCCAATCCGCTCCCTCTCTCTCCCCCCCACCCCTCGATACCAGGCAGAAACTATTTTGCCCTTATCACTAATTTTGTTGAAGAGAGAGTATAAGCAATAATAGTAAGGAACAAGGGTTTTGCTAGTTGAGATAAGGATAGCTATACAGAGAGTTGACTCACATTAATTTCCTGTGCATGTGTGTTACCTTCTAGGTTAATTCTTTTTGATCTAACCTTTTCTTTAGTTCCTTGTCCCCTTCTATTGGTCTCAGTTGCTTTTAAGGTATCTGCTTTAGTTTCTCTGTGTTGAGGGCAACAAATGCTAGCTAATTTTTTAGGTGTCTTACTTATCCTCACCCCTCCCTTGTGTGCTCTCGCTTTTATTATGTGCTCAAAGTCCAATCCCCTTGTTGTGTTTGCCCTTGATCTAATATCCGCATATGAAGGAGAACATACGATTTTTGGTCTTTTGGGCCAGGCTAACCTCACTCAGAATGATGTTCTCCAATTCCATCCATTTACCAGCGAATGATAACATTTCTTTTTTCTTCATGGCTGCAAAAAATTCCATTGTGTATAAATACCACATTTTCTTAATCCATTCGTCGGTGGTGGGACATCTTGGCTGTTCCCATAACTTGGCTATTGTGAATAGTGCTGCAATAAACATCCACTTTGAGTTGATACTTGCACAGACTGACAGGCTTGGATCTAGTTTTCTGCAGGTAGATATCCAGTTTTCCCAGCAACATTTGTTGAAGAGGCTGTCTTTTCTTCATCATGTG